TTTTTTTATCAAATATTAGTCAGTGTTCATTTAGTTTAATTTAAGCATCAGTGGATTGGTCAAAAATTCAATTAATGTAAATAAATAAATCAACCAATAAATTTGTTAGTTAGTAACATTGTTTTGATAATTTCACCATAAATGTGATTTAGTAGTTTAATTAGTATTAATGTATTAATATAAACATTAGTTCATTATTAATTTTAAATAATACTAATATTATTAATATTATTTGTTGTTTATCAAAGTATCAATTTGGTCATATTGTCCATCTTATATATATATTGTTTCGGGTTTTATAAATGAATTAAAAAATATTATTTAGTATTTATTTTGTTTATTGAATATTTTCTTAATGTATTAATAGATGTATTAATAAAGTAGCATTTGTTCATTTATACATATTTATAAAATATATTATTTAATATTAATATTATTTAATGTAATAAATTATTATTTCACATTTTTATTTAATTTTATATAGTAAATCGTGTTGTCCACGTAAATTGACGTAAATTGATTTGCGTTTTTAGAAATTAATTCATAAGTAATGTGTAACCTAATTAATTTTCAGGCAGAGTAATTGATAATTTACTAATTTAATAAAAGTAATTAGTACTTGATTTTAAGTCACACGTCTCGTCCAGCATTGACAAAAACTATAAACATCTGCAGGCGTGAGCCATAGGATCTTCACACATTTCATTACCAGACTTTGTTGAATTCTTATTAATATCCCATGTTTTTCTATAACCAATCCCATTAAGGCTGGACGTTTTTTTAGCGTGTCCTCAAACGTGGCGACTTTGAGGTGTTTTAATCCAACTCTACATCTGTGCACTGCAACGAAAGATGAATATCCCAGAAAAAATCTTTTCATCATCCTCATCTGATCGAAGTCATTTCGGCCGTTCCCCTGAGTCTGAGCTCTAGCCGGTCTCGCCCGCAGGTGTCAGTCTCCTGTGCTCCACGAGCGCTCGGCTGAAGCCCAGGGCATGCTGGGAGACGGGGAGATACCGCGGGAGAGAGAGCCGACTCTGGAGAGGACACGCTCTGCAGGTGCCATTCACACATCCACAGCTTCACGCAGATCCTTCCAAACACTGAAGCGCAGACAGACATTAGCCACTGCACTGAAAGGATACTGCAGATTATTACGTGGTAAAATGCTGGGAAGAAGAAAACAAAAAAATGGTTATTTTTAGGGCTGCTTGATTAATCTGAATAAAACCACATTTGAAAACAACACAAACTTGTTATAAAAAATAGAAACTTGATGGTTTAACATTTAAAAATGAAGACATTAAGACAGCCATAAACACTAACAATTTGTATTTACCGTATTGACCCGAATATAAGACGATGTTTTTT